AGTGTGTGCAGCCAGAAATGGCAGCCTCGAGAGTCACTGCTTCTAGGAGAGAATCAAGTAGAGAAGGGGCAGTATCTGTTGGAGACTAGCAAATGAAGAGAGAGAAAGACACAAGAGAGGAAAAATTAAGGATCTGTCAGAAATGAAAGGGAAACAAGACTTACCAAAACTCCACTTACCCCCCACCACAATCCTCAACAACATTGTCCATAAAAGAAATGGCACTGAAGAGGGTGCTATTGAATTAAGAACGCTTTCTATATTAAAGAAAAAAAGAATAGGGGAAAAAACAGTCCCCATCATTACAAAACAGCTGTAAAAATCAGACAGTGTGAACTAAGCTTTCTTCCTGATGAAAACTCTTCAAAACAGTTCAACCACAAAGTTGACAAAAACTGCAACACAATACTCCAAACTCAGTTAAATATCCTCAAATAAGTACTGGCATTAAGAAAAAAAAAAACCTCAAACCAGATATTTAAAAATTAGACTAGAAATTGACCAAAACACCAGGAAGAAATGAAATGAGAGTCAATAAAACTTAGGAAAGGAAAAAAGGAAAAGCAAAATGATATCAGAAATGAAAACTAAATTACAAGTTGCCCAAGGAAGAATATATTCAAATGAAAAGACACTGAAGAAAACCAGAAAAATAATCAGGAAGGTGAGAATGACATAAAGAAATAAAGAAGTAAATCAAAACAACTGAACAGCACTTATGTTTAGAACTGTAATCCAAGAAAACTTTTCAGACATAAAAGAAGACCTGAATCTATTATCGTGTACTGGAGAAATTTGATCTGGAAAGATCAACTCTAGGACATATCTAAAAAAAAATTAGAATTTAAAGGTAGGGAAAAAACGCACAGTGCCTCCAGGTAAAGAGAGCTATTAACTTACAAATACCAGCTTTCTCAACACAACACATAAAGTATAAGGTAATAGTTGAACAACATTTTCAAGAAGCTGAAGGAAAGAAAGTGTAAGCCAAGAATATTGTATATAGCCAAACTGACATTCAGATATCAAGGCCATAGAAATCCCGTTTGGAATACTGTAGTATTCCTGAGGACTCCAGGAGACGATGAGTTTCATCTGACCAAAAAATGACTGGAATAATTTTGTCAAGAGTTTCCAAACAGTAAGCATTTTGTATATATTATTTTATAACTTAGGCTAAAATGAGAGTGAGTTCATGGGTAAAAACGTGTAAATGTTACATGTCTGGCAAAAAACAAAAGATGCAATTTATTATAAAAATGAGAGGATAAGGGGAAAAAGGGGGAAAATAGAATATGATCATTCTGTGTATATGTAAAGGGTAATAGTCAACGAATGTTATATAAAACTGACATCAAATAGTAAAAAATTGGGTAAAAATAGTTTCAGGCACTAGAAAAGTCATAATACAGAGAGAACCTATAGAATGAAAATAGAGATCTTCCTAAGTACAAAAATATTTTTTAAAAAGCCAAAGGCACTATGAAGTAAAGAAATTCAGTAATTACAATGAAGACAATAATTTCAACAAAGGCAATGTGACAGAATTGAGACTGAACATAATAGTCATCCTAATTAACATGAATGGGATTAACTCACCTATTAAAAGAAAAGGTTTTCTTAGGGAAATACAGTTTATCAAAACTGACGTCAGTAGAGATAGAAAGCTCAACAGACCTATTTCCATAAAATAAATGAAGTTATTGAGAAATTAACCCTGCAGAAAAGGACCAGGCCAGATAGTTTCACAGATTAATTTAATTGCCAAACCTTTGGCAATCAATCCTCAAACTACATAAATGAGTTTAGAGTATAAAAAAGTGAAAGAAAATTTCTAAAATCTTTTTCTTGAAGCAGGTATAACATTTGATGTCTAAACCTGACAAAAATAGCACAAAAAAAGAAAATGGAATTAGACTAGAAAAACAACTAGAGGCATATGAATTAGAAAAGAAAAAGAAAACTGTTTGCCAGTGACATAATAGTAGTTCAGAGACCCCTAGGGAGTCAATGATAAAACTAACTCAATGAAAAATTCACAAGCTAGCAAGATACAAAATTAATATGCAAAACTCAATTGCATCTGTAAATACAAACAGTAACCTGGAGCTAACAGCGATCTGATACCAGTGGAAATTGACTCACACTATGGTTACCTGATATTTGAAAAAAGTTCACAGACACTTCAGTGGGGGAAAGGTGCTTGTTACATTACATCATGCTAGAACAAGGGACTATTTATGTGAGAAAAAAAATGAATTTCAACCCCTACCGCATATCATACTCAAAAACTAACTCTGAATGGATTGTAGATCTAAACGTAAGAACTAAAACTATTAAATACTAGAAGAAACTTTTGTGACCTTGAGTTAAGCAAAATTATCAAACTATATACCTAAATTTAGTAAATTTTACTATATGTAAATTCTACCACAACAAAGCTATTTAAAAAAAAAAAATGCCAGTACATCAGATTAGCAAAAATTTAAAAGCTTGGTATTGCACTTTTGCTGTTTCAAAACAGGCATTCTCATACATTGCTATTGTTAATGCAAAATGGTACATCCCTATGAAGGAAAATTTGGCATTTCTACAAATGCATTTATCCATCTACTTAGCAATCTCACTTCTAGAAATTTACCCTGAAGTTATTCCTCCAATAATATTAAAATACATATGTACAGTATTTATTACAGTATTACTTATAATTAGAAAATATTAGAAATTACCTTCATCTCTAAGAATAGGCAATTGATTGAATAAACTATAGTATATACATACAATGGAGTACTGTTCCACTTCAGGGAAGAATAAGGAAGATCTCTCTTAAATGATAGGGAGTTACAGCCAGGAAATATTATCAAGTTAAAAAGGCAAAGTAAAAAGAGTATATATATATATATAGTATGCTATCTTTTATAAATAAGAGAAATTAAAAAATATATATCGTTTTATTTTTACAAAAGAAATCAAACGAAGGATAAACTATACAACAATGAAATCTATTATCTACAACATGGATAGACCCAGGGTGGAGAAGATACAGGAGGGAGTGACAGCCACCTCCTTGAGAACACCTTTTTATGTTTTGTTTTTTTTTAACCTTTGGGTGCATATCAGTATTCTACATATTGAAAAACTATATTAAAAATCAATAAAAATAGGAAAGGAAAACTGAACTTAAAAGTATAAGCAAACTGAAATCAATTAATCCATTTGTATTTCAAATGAATACCATAACATGCTAATGGTAAATGAAAGAACGAATTCAAGTAACTTACGAGCACAGTGTTTGTGTTCATTGTTTAACAGGTTAGGGGTCAGTTGGAAAAGAATTGCAAACAAATCCTGAACCTTTTTTAGTGTGTTTTGTTGTTTTGTTGTTGTTTTAGGGATATGAGCAAAGCAATTCTGAAATAATTGTAAGATATATTATAGGTCTCGGTAAATATGTTGGTTATGGTTGAGGGCCAGAATCTCAATGAAGAAGCAAAGACATAGAAAACAGAATGAAGGAAGTCAAGAAAGAACATTGTGGGATGGACTAGAATTGGAGGTGTCATTGAGAATGCATCATTTCTAAAATATGTATGTTTATGCATATGAATGTGCATATATGTATGTATGTGTGTAGACATTTGTGTGTGTGCGTGTGTGTGTGCGTGTATGTCTGGCTCTGTCAACTGAAAGAGCCAAGAAGCAGACACCCCAACAGTATAGCTAAGTGTGGAGATACCATTCCCCACTAAAAGGAATCTAGGTTTCTTAGCAAAATGACTGATTTCAGGGCTGGGGAGGATAAATACAAAATGATTCTGGAACCTGTTATACCAGAAAGTAAGGAAGTGCTCAAAATGATGGGAGCATGTCACAAGAAACCAGCTCGAAGGGGCTCCCACTGGCCAAACCTGGAAGTACTTGAGCATCAAAATAATTAAATACAGTAATGAATTACAAACCTTTGAAAAATAAGTAATTCATGAGTCTGTACCATTAGTAAATAGATTAATTAGAAGAAAGGAGGACTCTTGCTTGTTACAGACTGTTGAGTGCTGACTGGTAACTAGAGTGGCTGCCAGATTTGGGAAATCA